ATGTTATACAAGAAAGAATTGGTTTTCTACCAGTTGAATTTTTAATGAAGAATCGGTGAACCAAGAGGAACTTCCAATCCCTTTAACAACGATTGAGTTAGTTTCTAAGCCACAAGTTAGAAGATCGCATAGGGAAAAGAAGTCTGCATTACCCAGTGTTTACATTACATATTTATTGGAGAGAGCTTTTCATATTGGGCATATTATTGATCATGTTACTTATAATCAAGCATTGACAAGTCTTGAAGCGAATAAATAGATAAACACTATGGAAGATGAAATGAATTCTGTGGAACGGAATAAAGTTTGGAAACATATTGAACTTCCTCCTGATGCTAAAACTATAGATAACAAGTAGATTTTCAAAAACCAAATTGGATTTGAAATGGAATGTTGAATGAAAAAAAACGAGATTGGTTGCAAAAAGTTTCACTCAGTGACAAGGCATTGATTTTGTTGAAACCTTCTCACCACTTTCGTTGAAATATTCCTTTCGAATTATCATGACACTTGTGGAACATTAAAATTTGGAGTTTCATCAGATGGATGTTAAGATAACATTTTTGGATGGAGATCTTTTTAAAAAGGTTTACGTGAGACAACCTGAATTTTTTGTTGTGAAAGGAAAAAAAACTTGGTGTGCAAGTTAAACAAATTCTTATATAACCTCAAGCAAGCTTTTTGACGGTGGTATTTAAAGTTAGACAAGGCTGTAATCTCCACTGGTTTTGTCAAAAATACAGTTGATTAATGTATTTATCTCAAAATTAGGGGGAGAAGTTTTATTTTTCATGTGCTGTATGTTGATAGGGATGTCAATTGGGCTGAGTCGGCTCGACAAAACTCGGCTCGTGGGCTGCTCGGGCTCGTCAAATGACGAGCCCAAGCTCGAGCCGAGCGGGGGGTCGCGTCTAACGAGTCGAGCCCGCTAGGCTCGTCGAGCTAGCCGAGCGGCTCGTCCAAAAAAGTGGAAAAAAATAATATTTTATCAATAAAATTTGAAAATTTTGCAAAAAAAAAATAAATATAAAATAAAAAATTCACGAGCTCGGCTCGGCCCGGCCCACGAGCTCGTGGCTCGTGGGTA